ATTGTAACCTTTCATAAATCACATGGAGACTGTCCAAAAAAAGTAAACAAACTTTAATCAAGCCATCCTAAGTAAAATAATTTGGCTAGGATTATTTTTACTAACAATCAATCAGCAATGAAACAATGGAGGTCTCAGTGAAATAATTGTCTTAAATATCTGCCCCACTAAAATGCTGCAGGTAAATAAACTTTTTTGAATTATTGGTCATATCCAGCTTTTCATCAAAATGCTGCTCTTTGGTTTACTGGCTTTCTGACTTTATTTCTCCATTAAAAATGTGGCTAGATAGTTCAGAGAAGAGACAAGACAGATTTAGCTGCATCAGAACAACTTATTTCCCAGAAAACAGAGTAGATATAGAATTACCTAAGTCTCAATAAAAAAGCTAAATACCTTTTACTTGTTACACAGGTTTGCATTGTGTAGAGATCTTCAGATTACCAAAACACAATGCTGAAGAGACTTGAAAGCCACTGATATATAAGGACCATAGGACAGATATTTGCACAGATATACAGCAGATGATAGAATAATTTTTGATTCTATTCTTCAAATCATGTGTAGTCTCTGAGAATGCACAATTTCATCCAAGATTTGTTGGGTAAACAAGATATAATAAAAAAAAATGAAGCAGACTGTTCTGGACAGCAGAAGGAAAAGCCATAGGAAGATCATTTTTACATGTAATTGGAACAATCTATGCAGGAGATAAAGAGGTCATGGGGCTACTTAGTTTATTATGGTGTCTGTTATTATATCCAGCACCAGATGTTTCAAAGCAAGGTGCAAGAAACCTCTTAAATCATAGTAATCAGAGATTTCGCTTAAATCCTGCACTGCAAGATTTAGTATCTTATCCAAAACTCATTAACACATATTTTGGAAGCCTTAGACTTGACATCATTTTTTTTCTATACAAACTAAGAAAATTTTCATGTCCCTGAACATGAAATTACACTTTTGTAGAAATTTTTTTGCCAGACTGATTAAATGAGTGAGATGTACTGTAGTTATTCAGAAAAGCTGCAGATTATTTTTCATTGTCTTAATCCTGTTTTGTCCATTTGGCAATCATTAAAACATGTTATGGAAGCTATGCATGAAACATATATGTGCAAGCTACTTACCTATGTAGTAAGTCAAATGATTTTAATCTATGAATCAAATATCTGTCCTATTATTCCAAGCCTAACCAGATTCTGAGGCTTGATGAGAATTAAAAGAACACTGTTTTTCATTCCATTGTGTTTCAGGAAAGTCTGGTAGCAGATGGCATGGGAACATCTTTGTTCAGTCTTAGAAGCAGCTTGGGAAACTGTTGGGGAAGTTTTTATGCAGCCAAGAGTCTCTGATGAAAATTAGATTTAAAGGGAAAACCTGAACATAACACAGTGATCTTAAGTTAAACCATCTGGAAGCTTATTGCTCCTGACTTCCCTGTTCCCTAGGAAATAAGAAAAGTACTGTTTCTTGTCATTCTTTGGCTACATTATGTGAATGTTAGAGCTCTGAAGATTAACAGTGAGGAACTCCTATGATGTAACTGTGTATTACTTCATACAATAACTCTAATAATCAATATTTGTCTCCTAATCTTTGTGTCTTCTGTCCTGTTGCCTAGGACATCAAACTTATGAAGCCAAATGAAAAACAGTTAATGAGTTATAGTTAAAAAAACTAGTTAATGAGTGATTACTGTCTCATACTAGCATTTCTTTCTGGAAATTATTCTGAGTAATTGCTTAAAATGACATGACCAGTGTTACTCCATAGCCTTTGGAGAACTGCTTCCACCAGTCCCTTCTTAAAACTGAGCATTGCAGGCCATGAAAAACACAGGGCTTTGTCTGAACCCAGACCTTTGTTCATGCTTCTGTCACACCACACTTACCCCTGTTGTACCTCCATAGTTAATTACTTTTGAGGACTTTCTCATCACAGCATGAACTGAGCATGACTTTATCTGGTGACAGGATAATCTCATTACAGATGATGATCTTGTTAATGAATATCCCCAAGACAGAGCAATCTCATTATTAGCCCCCTCAGGATTTGTCACCTAAGAGCCAATGTATGATTAGATTCTAGCTGCACAACATCCTCCCGGATCCTAACGGCCCAACATCTTGAGGCTGACATAGCACCCCTAAAGGCACATGTAAGCACTAGACAAATTTAATTAAGATTTTTGTCCCTAAGTACTTCTGGACATACTTCTCACGTGAACAATTAAGACAGTTCAAGTGCTATGTGCAGGGTTCATCTCCTCATTGTTCTGTAGAACAAACACAACACAGTGGCATCAAGGACAACCAAAACAGTGTTGCTTTACCACGTTGATAGTGGTTTCAAGGCAGTACCAGGAAGTGTACTGTCTGTCTCCTGGGTAGTGCCCTCTTCAAGTAATCACTCTGCATGGTGGCCTACCTACAAGTCACAAATCTGCTGGTCAACAGTCAGGCCTTCATACCACTGATGTCTGTTTCCCTGCATAATATATTTATAAAGAACACTGAAAATTATTACCATGAAAACATCCAGCTAGTTAAAAATCAACCTGATTTTCATTTTTTCTTTTTTTTCCTGGGAAGGTTAGGGTGCAGGATGGAACAGTGCTGAAGTCTAGTGCAATATAGGTATCTCCTTTGGGCATCAATGAGCTGTTGAACGGGCTCAATGGCCTGTGAAACCTCAGCCTGCGAGAAGAGTTTAGTCCTAGAAATCTAGTAACAACACAGAGATTGTTTTACATAAACCTCACACATTAGTTTGAGATAAATGTATTTAACTCAACTGTTTTATCAAAAAAAATGTTTTAGAATATTTACTTTTCCGTATGGACCCATCCAAGGGAAATGCGAAGGAATTTAAGTATCATTGCTGCTACTTTTTTTTTAATATGTAGTGCTGTGTTTGTATATAGTGCTTTACAGACACACAGAAAGGTGGAATTTTTATCAAATACAATTATAAAAGAGAGAGAAGAACAATGGTTACAAGAGTGAGAGTTATCAAGATGTTCCTTTTCTAAATGTCCATATTACAGTGCAACCAGTGTTTCCCCTTGCTCCTATAGTGTTAACAAAACCCATGCTAGATGAGAGATTGGCAATGCAGAAAAGCAATACATTTTCTTAATTAATCTAGTGGATAACAGGAACGTGAGCACTAAATCCCACCCATTTGATTTCATTATATCTACTATAAAGGTTAAGCCGCACTTTAGCATTAGCCCTAGACAGCCTCACTCAGCAGAGTGAGATCCAGGAGATCTCATTCAAGGAGGTGCAGCCCAGTACATGACTATTGATGAGGAAAGTCCTGATAAATGGTTCTGTTTTGATGAGAAAGCTAGACAGTGGGGCACACTGAATAGCAAATATGGTATTTTATTTCACCTGCAATTTTCTTGAGATGTATGCTTTGAAGAGTTTACAGAGAATTATTCATAGAATCATTCAGGTTGAACAGGACCTTTAAGATTATCAAGTCCAACCCTTAACCTAGCACTGCTAAGTCCACCACTAAACCGTGTCCCTAAGCGCCACATCTACATGTCTTTTAAATACCTCCAGGGATGGTGACTCTACCTGGGCAGCCTGTTCCAATGCTTGACAACCCTTTCAGTGAAGAAATTTTTCCTAATATCCAATCTAAACCTCCCCTGGCACAACTTCAGGCCAGTTTATCTTGTCCTATCACTTGGGAGAAGAGACTGACCCTTATCTCACTACAACCTCCTTTCAGGTAGTTGTAGAGAGCGATAAGGTCTCCCCTCAGCCTCCTGTTCTCCAGGCCAAACAACCCTAGTTCCCTAAGCCACTCCTCAGAAGACATGCTCTCTAGACCCTTCACCAGCTTTGCTGCTCTTCTTTAGACATGCTCCAGCACCTCAATGTCTTTCTTGTAGTGACGGGCCCAAAACTGAACACAGTACTCAAGGTGCGGCCTCATCAGTGCAGAGTACAGGGAAACGATCACTTACCTGGTCCTGCTGGCCATACTATTTCTCATACAAGCCAGAAGCCCCAAGCAACATTGGCATCACTGGAAACTCAAATCTCAGCTTTGGGTCACTTGGAAACAGTGTCAGAGTCTATGTCAAAGCAACCTGGAGCAAATCCAGGGACCAAATGGTGCCCTGTGTAAATTGCCTATAAAAGGGTCTGTGGGAGCTAAAGCACTTGACAGAGAGTTGTATAGCTTGGCAGAGGCAACCTATACAAGCAAGAGGTGACTACTGGTCATCTTCTGGCAGCAGTGGGCAGGGAGCTAAAGGGGAAAGAAAAGGGCGAAGCGACCATACCATTTTCTTTGCTCACCACTGTGCAGCCACACCTGCCCATGAAGGAGTTTCGTCTGCATCAGCAGGAAGCACACTGAATCACAGTCCGCTCCCCAATGTACCCCCTGGTAAAGCAAAAATATATTGTGCTTTGTATTGATTTAGAAAGGAACAAAAAGTTGTTCTTTTAGGTAAAAAATGGACTACATGACAAAATTACCCCTTAGTGTTTTTCATTTTGAAGTTGTGGTCTGGCTTCATACAGGAAGGGGTATGGGGCTTGGTCAGATTTCCTTCAGAGGTCCCTTCCAACCTGAATTGTTCTATGATTCTGTAAAATTATGTGTAGAGTTTCATACCTGAGTTTTATGACTGATTATTGCTATTGCTCCTATGAACTGGGCCATCATACGTGCAGGTCATGTAATACTATCCCTCGAGCTTCAACAAATAGTCAATAGGATTCCGTCCTCATGTGTGCAGCCTGAGCTTGCAAGTTCCTTCAAGTAACCAGGATCTCACATGGCAATTGGGAAATGTCCCTTAGACACAGAGGCTACAGCTTTAGTGTCACTGGCAAGCTTCTAAGCACACTGATGTGCAGGCAGTCCTCATAGAAGCAGGTAAACTGGAATAATTAAGAAATTAGGTTTTCAGATGCATTAATGTTATGAAAAAGATAATATATATATGTTGTGTTTTCTTTCCACAGCTTAATGTCTGGGCTAGCAGCCCTGGATGCCAAGACTTCCAGTCGGTTAGGTATCATAACTGTCACTTACTACCTGTGGACAACATTTGTGGCTGTGATTGTGGGAATAATTATGGTCTCCATTATCCATCCTGGTGGAGCAGCGCAGAAGGAGAGCACTGAAGAGGGAGGAAAGCCCATCATGAGCTCTGCCGATGCACTGCTTGACTTAATCCGGTAACTACATTCATTCTTTCTGCTTTCTGAAGGTAACATTTTGTACGTAACTGCATGAGGAACTGGGGCCTGAGGATAAGTTCTGAACCTAAGGATGAACATTTTGTTTGAATCATGAAAATTTCAGAAGATGATTTTTCAAGTTATCAGATGTTTATACTGGCTGTTTCTAGTAAAATTTAAATGAATGGCCACGAAATGTATCAAAAGTACTAAGAACACCGGGGTAGGTTTATTATTTTTCACTCCCACAGAATCACACGTAGCTCGTGGAACTCATCATGACATCTAAAGGCCAAGACAGTGCTGAATGTAATACTAATTTAAATAAGGGCAGACAGTTGTAATAGACAAAACCTTAAATATAAGAGCTGAAATACACATTTTTCAGGAAATAATTCTTAAAAATGCTCTTACAACTGCTCATAACAACTCTCAAATGAACCATACAATTAGAAAGACCACTGTTGGGATCTTTTTATTCCTTATTTTTATGGCATTATTTCTTCTGCTTCATGGCTTTTTCTTGTTTGTTTTACTTTGTCTGGCAGAAGGGAGAGTTGTTCTTTCAGACCAGCATTAGACTACTGATGGCATTTTCATAGCCTTGCCTGAATATCCCTCTTTATCTCGACATTTCAGGTGCTAGTGGGATTAGTTTCCTGACTGAACATAGTATGTGCCTCAGATTTATTTTGCTCATGCAGAAAGATAAAGTTTTGCCTTTATTTGATAGTTTCTCAAGCTGGTGATCTCATACCATATTGGGCAGAGGCATCTAGGCCCAGCATGTATCTAAAAGACGAAGAGTTCTCTTTGGAGTTTGACATTAAAATTAAAAATGTTGCACAGTTTGTCTTTCAAAACCCCAAATTCCTGACCCTGACAGGCCATCAGCACACCAAGTACTTTAATTAGAGTTACTGGACCTCAAATCAGAAGGAACTGTGATGAAAACCTTATAAAAATCTTTCTTTTTCTCCTCCAAGTTGCACTTAGCCAGGCCATCTGAAACCCACATGTTTTCCTATTGTATCAATGTCTTACTGAGAAGAGGACAAATTATATTAGTCATGGAGCAGCAGCTGAGTGGACTCTTTTTTGTAGCTTTCCACAAAAACACCATCTTCATCTGCAGTGGGAAGATTCCCGCTTCATGGCATCCGTATCTCCCCAGTGACTTTGCCATGACATATGTGCAGTAGAATTCAGGTGTGTGTGTTTGTGACATAATGTTAAGTCACATTATTCTGGTTTTGCTGCATAAAGGACTAATTCCTACACCAAGAGGAAGGAACTAAGCAAGTTACTGGAGCTTTGAATCCCTTAGTACAACAGAGTAGCATTAAGAAGTAAAAGGGAATTTATGAAAACAGTAATCTGAATGATTATCTTCATAGTGGCAGTGTTTGGAAACCCTTCCTTGCGTGCTGAGCTGTTTCTAAGGCCTCAGTCTTAAACAAGTAAAGGCACAGTGAGACCTATGGTGCAATGTTACATCCAAACTGACCTTATGGCTGTCTCTGGAAAGGGTCTCCCCATCTCCTTCCTTACACCAGCCCAGTTGCTTTTTGAGACCCAGAGTCTAGTTCATGGAGATGAGAAGTACTTGGGGCATGCAAAAAGTGACCTAATGGCTGTATGACTGGAACCTGAGATCTGAGTTACAACCTAATCTCTTAATCTCTGGCTAGTCCCTGTACACTGCAGATTTAGTGGTGAGGTTTGGGAACACTTTATTCTGCTGACCCTCATTACAGGTAAAATAGTATGTCCTGATCTAAACATTTGCAATTATCATCTATAATTTATTTCACTTCCTACAAACATTTACCTGAGAAAAGTATAATAATTTGCATGCATATTGCAGGTATTCATGCTTCCAACCAGGCATGTGCTTTTAGTGTGCGAAACCTTAAAGTCTTCACTGGTTTGGGCTGGTGTCAACAACAGGCCAATGAGCCACTCTCATTACCAAAGCTTAAAAAGAGAGAATAAAGCTCTCTCCTTTTGTTGTGCTAAGCAGCAGTCACAGCTGCAATCTTTCTACCCTGAGTGCACAAACTGATGGGTTTTATTCCTCCACTACAGAAATATCACATTTACTAAATAAGAATAACACAACTGTGGGGAATGGGCTTTCAGCCTAGGCAAACACTATGGGTGAAATCCTGGCTCTGCTGAAGTCAATTGCAAAACTCCTAAATATCTATGTGGAAGTCTGGATTAAATGTAATGATGTATCTGCTGGTTTGAGCTAGAAAAGCTGATCCTTTAGCTCAATGATAAATCACTTCCATTCACAGCTGGAGACCATCTTTTTAGGCCCAGACTGGCTTATCTTCTCAATTCATTAATTTCCTCTCAATTTATCAATTGCACATGTGCATAGAAGTTTACACAGGAAACATCTGGTATTCAGCAAATGAAGAATGCTAAATGCACAAGTGGAGAGATGATATATGTGACATAATTGTGGGGTTTATTTTAAAAGCATGAATCTTGGCATGGTGGTATACATATTCATGCTCACTGATTTCAGATTTGAAGACACTTTGAAATGATGACATACATTATTATTTCTTGTGATGTTATATATGACATTGTCAGGTCTGGAACTTTTGGCAGGGAGGATGTTGCTAGAAATTGAATTTCTGGAATTTTTGGGTGAGGATTTTGCTTTTAGAAGTGGTTTTAATCAAAAATTAAAGAATCTACTGATTTAGCAATAAATGAAACCAAGAACTACTGCAGAGCCTCATTGTCATCCTAAACACCTGCAACATTAATCAATAATCACATTATTATTCTGCATTATTTTGCAGATGGTGCTTCCCCTGTATATTTGTCTGTTATGTAAAAAAAGACCAGTAATAAAACCTCAGGTGTATATGACTTGATTAGGACATATCAGTGACACTGTACTGCATAATTCTGAAATGGCTCTAAACCCCACATCAAGCAGGACATACATAATCTCATCAACATACTGAATTTCATGCCTCGAAAATTGTATCCACAAGTCAACCATTTTTTTGCCGTGCTAAACAGAAGTACTTGAAAGACTTCCTTTCTAAAGGGAACCCTAAAAGACTGGGGACAAGATCTGTGGATGTGACTCTGCCCCTACTGATTTCCTCCTAAATTCAATCTGGACAGAGAGGCCACTGAATGCAGCATAATATAAGTGTTTTCAATGTTCAATTAGTCTTTATACCTAAAATCATTAGTGCCTTCTGGGCTTTAAATGTCTGAATTTTTGCTTTAATCTGATCCAGCTTTAAACCAAATACATCTTCTGCTGTCTGTAGAAGATATCCATTTAACCAGGTAGTTCACCTTCGTACCTGTGCAGGAATCTCCCCTTCCATAACTTGCCCCTCTCTATCAGCAGTGTGCTAGGATCCAGGCTAAGGACAAGTAATTCAGAAGGCAGCTGTGAGCCTGAAGCTGTGCAGGAGATGCTGTTCTGAAGATGCTTCTCTCTTTAGCTGCCACTTTGTTACTACATTGAGACAGATGTACAAATCTGCCTTAATTATATTCAAGGTTTCTGGTGCAAGCACTGCATGGCTCATTTTCTTCCATATTTAAAACTATAAATCCTCAGGCTAAGGATCATCTTGTTCTCTTTAACGCACCAAACTACCTGGTGCTTTATGAATTTTAATGGATTTATTCTCATGATGTGCAATACCTCTGTGAGGTAGGCAAGGACCATTTTCCTGTCTTACAGCTAGAGAACCAAGACATATGGAAAAGAAATTACCTCACTGAGGGTTGTTCAGAGATATCTGTGGTGCCCGAGGAAATATTCCCAGCTCATACAAGATCTAGTAGGGGTCTTGTTCTAGGAATGCGGCTTTTGGGGCACCTCAATGGAAGTAATAGCAATGAATCAACACATATCTTTACCTTCTTTTTCCTGTGTGAATTACTGAAATTAACTTTGTACTATGTCCCCAAAAATAAAAGAGTGAATTTTTAGTAGCCTTTTGTGAGTTAAGAAATGAATAAAGGCAAGGTATCAATTTTTAAAAATAATTTAGACTTTGAATGTTTTATTCAAAAGGACAAAATGGGACATACTCACAGGAATAGCGTACAATTTAAAATATTAGGTTTGTTTAATTCTGCAACATATATTCACCTGACAAGCAGAATAGAAAATGCCTATAATTTGGGGATTAACATTTGTAAAACAAGATATATGACTCAGGACCACACAGTTTCCATTAGCAGTTAATATTTCCACCACATTCTCCTGCCATTATCAAAATACCTTTGATTTAGAAGGGTAAATCTTGTTGCAACTTAAATCATGCTAGTCGCTTTTGTCACCAAGGGAAACAAAATTTGATTGATGAGATAAAAACAAAGAAGCAAACACCATAAACATTCACATGAGGAAACTAATCCCAGCTAAACTGGGGTTTTACCCTCCTGTTTTATGTGAGGCTGACTGTGTGTGCAAATCTGGGCACCAGCAAGTGCAGGGTTCACATACATTTTTAGCCTTTCTCAAGTCTAACCAAACAGCATGGCATTGCAAGCTTATTCAGTTCAAAAGCTCCCAATAAAACAATTCAGTGAATATAGTCAGAATCAAATCATGCCTTAAAGCTTGCCACACGAATTTGTACATTTCTGAAGTTTACTGGAAGGATAAATCAGAGCATTTTACCACTGAATATTCAGGATTGCATCTAATTTAATAGCAGGTACCTGGAAACTCAATCTGGCTTAACCAAGAGAGGGGCTTTTTTTTATACCATTAATAGTTAGAAGAGGATATAAACACTGTAGAGGATTTATGTTTTCATGGGAATCCTGAGCACTCTTTAAAATCATTTTCTTTCCCTCTTTTCAAGCTAAGGGCTATAGTCTATTTTATAGAAATTGTATTTCTTGAAAATAGGACAGGAGAAACCCAGTATCTGCTGTAGTTTGGAAAAAGTCCAGGCTGTGCAGAACCAGAAATCACACTTTAAGAAATTTAC